ATCTACAGAGTTGAAGAGACAAAAATTAAGAGGTCATGACTCGCTACGTAAGATAGACCTCAACGGAACCCCAAGGGTTTGGTTAAAACTCTGAAGGATTATACCACAAAAATAAGAATAAACCAGGGGCTTAAAACTCAACTTGTAATCACCTCATCCCTAGCTGCCTGCAATAGTGAAAAATAAATCTCTGAAAGATAATAGCATTCAAAAACTCAGAGTATTTCTACCATTTTTTGTAACAATGTCAATCACTCAGTAAAGAAATATACAAGACCAGAAGGCACAATGTGACCAAAAACAGAGAGAAATAAAATGGAAACAAATCCATAGGATATTCAGATATTAGAGTTATCAGACACAGACTTTAAAATGACTAAGATGAATACATTTAAGGAATTAAATTATAAGATTTCCACAGAGAATTAAAGAACTAATTGGAAATTCTAGACTGAAAAAATGAAACAGGTGATGTTAAATACTTACCAGATTAGGTACACAGTGAATTAGACATAGCTGAAGAGAAAAAGTTCCTGCTAAAATTTTTATTGGGATTGTACTGAATCTGTAAATCAACATGGAAAGAAATGACATTTAACAACACTGAGCCCTCCAATCTATGAATACGGCATCTGTTTATTTAGGTTTTCTCCCAGTAATGTTTTATAGAATTCAGTGTACAGGTCTTTCATGACTTATCAAATTTATACCTAAGTATGTCATATTTTTTGATGCTAGTATAAATAGTATTGATTTTTCATTTGTCAGTATATAGAAACCCAATTGATTTTTGTATATTGACCATGTATACAGTAACCTTATTACTCACTTATTTTTAGAAACTTTGTATCCCATAGGTTTTCCGTAGAGCCCAATATGTCAGTGTGAAGAGACTTTTACTTCTTCCTTTAAAATTTTTCTTCCTCTTGTCTAAATGTCTTGGCGAGAAACTCCAACATAATGTTTAATAGAAGAGGATCATGGGCATCCTTGCTTTGTCTCTGATCTTGGGGAAAAGCATTTAGTCTTTCACCATTAAGTGCGAAGTTAGCTGCAGGTTTTTAAGATGCCCTTTACCAAGCTGAGGAAGTTCTCTTTTATTGTACCTTACCGAGAGTTTTTATTGGAAATGAATGTTGGATTTTGTCAAATGCCCTTTTTGTACTTAACTTGAGATGATAATATGGTTTTCCTATGTTAGTCTGTTAATGAGTAAATTACATTAATTTTCTAATGTTAGCCCAAATTTGCATTACCATAAACTTCACTAGGTTATATATTATCCTTTTTACACCATGCTTAATTCAGATTGCTAACTTTTGTTTAGAACATTTGGATCTGTGTTGTGATGACTATTGGTTTGTCATTTTCTTGTGATTTGGGGATCAAAGGAATGCTGGCATCAAAGGAGTGGGGATTATCCCCTCTTCCATTTCCTGGGCTTATCTGTGGAGAATTGGATATTTTCCTCCTTACGTATTGTGGTTTTTTTAAAATTTAAAATTTTTTTTTCAACATTTATTTATTTTTGGGACAGAGAGAGACAGAGCATGAACGGGGGAGGGGCAGAGAGAGAGGGAGACACAGAACCGGAAACAGGCTCCAGGCTCTGAGCCATCAGCCCAGAGCCTGACGCGGGGCTCGAACTCACGGACCGCGAGATCGTGACCTGGCTGAAGTCGGACGCTTAACCGACTGCGCCACCCAGGCGCCCCTGGTTTTTTTAAAATTTATTTGTTATTTGTTTTTTGAGAGAGAGACAGAGAGCAAGCTGGGGAGGGGCAGAGAGAGAGAGGGAGACACAGAATCCAAAGCAGGCTCCAGGCTCTGAGCTCTCAGCACAGACTCTGATGTGGGGCTCAAACTCATGAACTGTGAGATCATGACCTGAGCCGAAGTTGGACGCTTAACTGACTGAGCCACCCAGGTTCCCCTCCTCCTTAAATATCTTTAAGAGTTCTAGCTAAATTTGGCTTTTTCTGTCAGAAATATCTGTACAATCTATAGTGCTATCATTTTTCTCACTCCTAGTATTGGTAATTTATGTCTTCTTTCCTCATCAGTCTAAGATTTATCAATTTTGTTGCTTTCAGAGAGTTAGCTTTCAGTTTCACTGACTTTCTCAATAGATTTTATTTTCTATTGCATTAATTTCTTCTCTAATCCTTTTTCCTTTCATTTGCTTATTTTGAGTTTCACTTGCTATTATTTTTCTAGGTTAAGGTGGAAGCTGAAGTTCTTGATTTGAATCCTTTCCTTTTCTAATATTTCCCTGTAAGTACTGCTTCAGCTGAATCCCATAAATTTTGATTGTTTTCATTTGCGTTAATTCAATGCACTTTCTTTTTATTTTTATATTTAAACCATTTATCTTTAAAGTAGATTTCATGGATTCAATATATAGTTGGATTAAAAAACTCAATCTGATCAGGGTAACTGACAATTTACACTTAATGTAATTATTGATATTGCTGTTTAAATCCACCATCCTACTGTTTTATTTTCTATTTGTCCCATTCATTGTTTCTTTTCTTCCTTCTTTTGGATTGTTTTTTGTGGCTACATTTTATCATCTTTGTTGGCTTATTAATTATGACTTTTTCTTTTTATGGTTGCATTAGGGTTTACAGAATACATTCTTAACTTATCAATCTACTTTCAAGTAATACTATACTATCTCACAGTTAGTGTAAGAATTTTAGAGTACTATACTTACGCTTCCCTCCTCCCATCCTGGATACTGTTGTCAAACATTTCACTTTACATATGTTAACCACACAACATCTTGTCATTATCTTGGCTTCAAATCATTAATTATCCTTTAAGGATAATCTAAAATGAAAAAAAGTCTTACATATGTTCACATATTTACCATTTTTGGTCCTCTTTGTTACTTTGCATAGAAATAGGTTTCTATCTGGTACCATTTTCCAACTAAAGGCTTTCTTTAACATTTCGTATAAAGCAAGTCTGCTTATGATGAATTCTTTCAGCATTTTGGGGTCTGAAACAGTTTTGATTTCATTTTCATTACCGAAAGATATTTTCACTGATATAGAATTCAAAATTGAGTCTTCTTTCAGTAATTTAAAGATGTTACTCCACTGTCTCTAACATTCTTATCTTTGTTCCTCTGTGTCTCAACTTCAGCAGGCTTAAGAATTTTCCTTTGCCACAAGTTTTAAGGAATTTGATTCTGATGGGTTTTGAAATAAATCCATTGATATTTGACCCAGTTGATATTTGAAAACTGTCTCATATATTTTGTGTTTAAAAATTTTCAAATGGGTAACTCCAATCTCTATTATATTTTGGCCAGAGGCAAAAGTTCAATTTCACGTTTCCCATTTTTACCATATAAAAATTTTACTTTTTATACTTAGCTTTTAAATTCCATGATAAAAATGTTTCATCTACACACATAAAGTTACTAGAATTGTTTTATTTATCCCACCTCTTTTAATACACATTATGTGCATTTATAGAAAAAGGCAATAGGAAAATATTAATGGATTTAAATACAGCATGTAGGCAAAACACACTTTTATGTTTTCCAAACCTGTTTGATAATGATATAGAAGGAAGCTTGTTACAAATCATAATGCTTTCAATAATCTGTCAGGAAAGAAAGATCACATTAGCACCCTTTTACATTTCAACACAAACGTATTCTCTGAGCCGCACTAGGAAAAAGTAATATTTCTGTTTTTATTTCTTGAAGTCATCATTAGTATGTTTACACTTATTAAATATATCCTCAAAATTTCCATCACTTGGGAAAACCATAAAGTTAGTAAGCTAGCTAGGTTTATTATTTTAGTAAATATTTTTATCTCCGAAGTCAAAATTGGGCAGGAGTGCTGTATACAAGGTACATAGCTTACATCTTTGGGACAGGAGACGATAAGAAGGTAAACAAGCCTGGAGCCCTCCTAATCTTATACAACTAACACCGTAGATCATGGCAGGTAGATGTACACATCCACCCATTCGCAAAGAGGTGTAAATTCTTTTGACAATTAACTTTCTAAATTTTACGGTAAGGTCAACAATAAAAAAACATTACACACAGCACAGAAAGAATTAGAGAAAGTTAATGATATAAACCACAAAACAAAATAATCTACACTTCTCATTTGGAAGGGAAAAAAATAGGACTAATACTGTAATACTTAGCATCTAATATAAAATTTTCACTGATTATAAGTTGAATCATGTTGATTGAAACTTTACAGAGTAACTTTGCATTTTACTAATTCATAAGATAATCAGTAGATATGCAGCTCTAGTTGAGGTTTATAAACCCCTAAACGTTTTCATAGGTAAAGTGAAATTAGCTACAAAATACAAAACAGGAGTAGAGATTTGTCAGAAGTACAAAACACTAACATAGATGCAATAGGTATATAATGTAATCTGTGCAATTCAAAATTCCCAGAATTTTCTTATGAAATGTACAAGTAATAAATAATAGTCATACTTGACTTTATCAAGTTAACAAAATAATTACTAACCACTGTTGTGTTTTACTAGTCAATTGCTTAGAAACACCAATTGCCATTTTAAAATTATTTTCACCATAAAAATAGAAGGTATATCAAGCTCTTTAATCTTCAAACATCCAAAACAATTTGGAAGGCAATTATCAATCAAAAATATTATCTGTTAAAAAAAGGTAATTAAAAAACATACATAACCTATTTTTTTTTTGCACAATTTTCTTTTCTTATGAAAAAGGGCACTTAGTGTGTAGCTAAAGCTTTCGTAAAATAAAGATACTGCTGACTTTCCTACTAGGCAGATGACATGTACAGTTCTTAATATAAAAATATAAATATTTTTGACAGAGAAGATGAAATAGTGGTTGGTGTAAAATCCCATCACCATTTTACTTGAAAAACACTTTTTTCCCCAAAGACCATAAAAACAATACTGATTCCATGCAGTTGTGTTGCCAGAAGCTTCTCCAATTACAAAACATTAAGGTATTCACTGAAATTTCAAAAGTGGGCCCGTAGTCTTTTGTTTTCTTCTCGTAGTCTTTCAATTTCAGCCACTAAACCTTCATTCACTGAGTATCTTTCCAGCAAAGAGTGCATTTCATTCTAGAAAAGGGGATAATGCTTTTTAAATCATTGGTATTTCATTTATTTGGCAAGCTGTTTTACATACTTTCAGCTATCATATCTGTCATGTTCAATTAACTACCTGAATGATATTTCTTGTACTTAACCATCCTTACTACTTTGTTAGTATCACTGGTTAAGATCTGTAAAGATCACTGGTGAAAGTTATATATTTGCAAGGCTTATATTTGTACATGTGGGAAGCTTTTAACTTAAATAAATAAATAAATAAATAAAATGGCTGTGAAAAAGTAGCCTTAACTATTATAAGTTAAAAAGAAGAGGGACCAGTTAAAGTCTATTTTACTTACTAAATTTCTAAAATTCCCTATTTATTATTCTAGCAACTAGATATAATAAAGTAAAAATATATCACCCTTTAATGGACTCTTTTTAGATCCACAACTCTACACTTATTTAAAATAAAATATGTCATACATACCAATTGCATGTGAAACTGTTTAATCATCTCCACTTGTAAATTCACAATGTCCCTATGGCATGCTTCTCTAGGGAAGAATGTAAAATACTTGTTAGAATTACAATGGTTTTCCCAATTCTAGATCGTTCAAGAAAGTGGCTAACCTTTTCTCATTGTTTCAAATGATTGGATGTTAATAATAAAAATAATAATACCAACGTGTCTAGAATTTATTTACTATGTACTAGGCACTGTTTCTTGGAGAGAGAGAGAGAGAGGGCACATGAGCAGGGGAGAGGCAGAGAGAGAGAGGGAGAGAGGCTCTTAAGCAGGCTCCATGCTCAGCACAGAGCCCAACATGGAGCTCAGTCTCACAGCCTTGGGATCATTACCTGAGCCAAAATCAAGAGTTGGACGCTCAATTGACTGAGCCACCCAAGCGCCCATTTCTTGTACTTTAAATGGAAGAACTCATTTAATCTTTACCATTAGGTGCAATTATTACCTCCATTTTACCAATTAAGGAACTGAGTCACGGAGCAGTTAAAACTATCCAATCAAACCACCAGTAAATGGTGGAACTAGTATATAAACCCAGGCTGTCTACCTCCAGAACTCTCACTGTACTACATTCCTTAATATAGAAATTAACATTAAAGAAAGACAGAGGTGGGGCACCTGGGTGGCTCAGTCGGTTGAGCATCCGACTTTGGTTCAGGTCACGATCCATTGCGGTCTGTGAGTTCAAGCCCTGTGTCGGGCCCTGTGCTGACAGCTCAGAGCCTGGAGCCTGCTTCCCATTCTGAGTCTCCCTCTCTCCTTGCCCCTCCCCCGTTCATGCTCTGTCTCTCTCTCTCTCTCTCTGTCAAAAATATATAAACATTAAAAAAAATAAATGAAAAAATAAAAAAATACAGAAATTTATATTACAATGAAATACATACAGATAATTTACTAGGTTATAATGTTTTAATTATTAACAATGTTTTAGCTATTAAAAAAATATCTCCAGTAGAGTAGAAAATGGGTATTTGGGTGGTTATAATAGAGGTTACCCAATAAAATGCAATTAATTCAGGCCTACAAAAGAATACATGAAAATTATGAAGTATAATAATAAAAGGATCATTCAGTCACCCACCGCACAACTTATGAGCTAGAACATTAGCAAAATCATAGAAGCTTCCTATATGCTCTTCTCTGATTCCATCACTTGTCTTAGGAGAAGCCCAAGAAAGAATTCACTCCTCTGATGAATTTTGTTTAAGCAAAGAAATAGTTTTTTTTAAAAAAACAACAAACATCTGTCTAACACAGAATATACAGTCAATATATTTTCATTGTGCTTGTTTCTGAGTATTACAAAAATACCACATCCTACGTAGTACTGAGTAGTGCACATTTAAAAAATAACCCAGCACCATGTTTTCAACATTCATCTTCTATACATCTATAATTCACTGATTTCTGCTGGTGTATACATTCTCCTATCAACTGACATTTGGACTGTTATTCAAGATTTTACTGTTACAATGTTGTTATAAGCTATCGTGCATGTATCTCTCAATCCACATGGCCAATTTCTATAGATGATAGATCCATGAGTAGATACGCTGAATTAAAGGTTATGATCCAGATGTATACTTGTTCAGTTTTACAAAATAATGCAAATTATTTTCTGAAGTGGTAATATCCGTGGACTTGCTCATCATCCGTGTGAGAGAATTCCTCTTGCTCTACATCCACATCAAGGCTTGGTCTTGCCAGACTCCGCACAACATTCTCCCATCTAATGGGTGTGCAATAGTGTCCCGCTGCATTTTCAATTCTCTGATTCGCAGGATTGGACCTCTCACCTTGTGTTCATAGACCATTCCTCTTCTGTGAAATGCTTGCACAGGTCTTTTCATCTTGTTTTTCTACTGAATGTCTTTTTTTCTTATTTATTTCTCTTTACATAACCTGATTCTTTGTTGGTTATATGAATACTGCAGATAGATTTTTGTCCTGCCGCTTTGTTAATGGTATCTTGTGATGGACAGTCATCAACGTTCTCTAGTTACTGACCTATTAACACAATCAAATTTACCCATCTATTTTTATAGGAAGTGTATCCTCTTATGTTTTGATAACTTCCCTACCCTGAAGTCATATATAAACTCTCTTACAATGCCTAAAACTTTACCCTTTAAACTTTTACTCTGGGTGGAATTGATTTTTTTTTAACAGCTGGGAATAGGGATCTATGCTTTTCCTCTGTCATATATCACATTTCTATATACGCACAGGTTTTTCTCTGGTCTATGTGCTTCTTTGGGGCAGTTTGTCCACCCTGTGCTAATGCTACACTGTTTTAATTATAGCTTCATAACTAAGCTTATCATCTGACAAAAAAGTCCCCTTTAACCTTATTCTTCTCTGGAGTGTCTTGGTTATTCCTGGATCTTTTCTTCTTTCACATAAATTTTGAAATTATCCTATCATCGTCTTCCAAAAACCCAGATACGATTTGATTATAATTTTACTCAATCTATAGACTTAATTTAGAAGAACTGACATCTTCATAATATCTTTCCACTTATTTAAGTATTAATACTTTCTAATCAAATTTTAAATGTTTTTCTACAAAGATTTTTACCATCTTTGGTTAGATTTATTCCTAAGTACCTTACTTTTTTTCTTACAACTATACTTTAAAAATTCTCTCGGCATTCTAATTATGACAAAAGCTGTATTAAAAACAAACAGAAAACACCAGAGAACCATGAAAATTGCTAGGATTAGAGAAGCCATGGTCTTATAAAGGAGGGAAGTCTAGTAGGTAAGCCCCACCTTTCCCCCTGCCTTTCCCTCTGGGGGAGGTACTGATACTCCCGTGTGGGGAAAAGAAGCTGAAGGGAAAGCAGTGGCCTGGAGCTTGACAGAGTCTCACTGGATAGGGCTGTGCTAGGTTGGGAACAGTCAGGACAGCCAAGGCTTTAAGGTACCAGATCCTGGAAAAGGGGTACCTGCAGAAAAGTAAACCTAAAATTGCACTCTCCCCTTGAGACACCTGTTGACTCCTAAGCTATGCCTGTCCTGAGTTAGATGGCAGGAAATCAAACACAAAGTAGCAACTAGAGCAGAGGAAGATTTTGGTGACCTTTTGATGCTGGGGAAATGGAGCTAAAGTGCAGGACCCACCAAGGTAAAAAAGCCAAGTGAGACTCCAGACGAAATTCAGCTGACATCCCAGAAGGGCACAGACTAAACTGTAGGAATAGAGGCAAACCAGAAATAAACTAGCCCCAAGGAAACCTGAAAGCCAGCAAGAAATGGAACAAAGTGATCTTCTTGCTGGAAGAAATTTAAATCTTCTTAAAAGACAAAAAAAATAGAGCCACAGACATCTGCTTAGGAGGTAATCTCTCCAACTCTGATGATGAGGTCAAGCCAGATAAACTATAAAATATACATGTTTAAATTCAACTTGAGAGTGCAAAGAACTCTAAATGCACCAAACTCTAGAAAACAAGAGACCCACAATTATTTTCATCCTCCACAGAGCAGTGGTGGGGAGACAGCAGCTGTTGACAGGGTAAGGAGAGCACGCTGAAATCTATATAGATTTCTGGAGGCAAGTGAGGACTGGCTCAGCAGTTCAGAATCCCAAGGAGCCCTACCCAAAAAGAAGTCCCCATTCATGCACCAACGATGCACAGGCCTTCACTGAGGGCTTTTGGAAACAAGCAGGGGCAGAGCAGGGGGGCAGAGATGCACAAGGTCTGTGAAGACTAAGGGCAGCGGCCAGTGAGCCCTCTGAAGCACTCTAGCCCCTCGCGGAGAAGGCAGCCAGCCTCCAAAGCTGAGGGAGAACAGCTGACAGAACCCCTCCACACCTCGCCTCCCCTGTCCCTCCACCGTAAGTGCGGCTGCTCAAGACTTCCTGAAGTCAGAACAAGTATATTTATAGAAATCCTCTGAGCCACTCTGGGTCCTGAGTCCCAAGCCAGGGCTGCCTTGGTTGACGGAGGGGCAGAAGAGTTGAGAGAGGCCCCGATTCACCCCTACTCTCCAGGTGCAGGCATGCAAGGCAGGCTGAAAGCTGAAGGCAGGGCAGTGCTGTCTTGCTCAGTCTGCCCCAGCATAAGAGCTTTCTCCCTTTCCAGCACTGCTTTACTCACATTATATTCAAGTCACTTTACCCAGACAATTCTGCTGTCCTGCCACATATATATGTTCTTGAAAAACCTCATATTCTTTAAAATTGTTGTGTTGAAAATAAGATGACCCGATTTTTAAAAAAGTAGCCTGTGTGTGTGTACACACACAGAAGGACAAATACTGCATGATTCTACTTATATGAGATCTCTAAAACAGTCAAATTCATGGAAGCAAAGAACAGAATTGTGGGCATCAGAGGTTGGAAAGAAAGGGAAACAGGAAGTTTCCAAACACAAATATGAAAGGTCAGTTATACAAAATGAGTAAGTTCTAGAGATCTGCCGTACAACACTGTGCCTATAATTAGCAATACTGTATTACACAGTTAAAATGTTTTTATTCATTTTTGAGAGACAGAGAAAGAGAAAGAGAGAGAGAGAGATGGGGAGAGAGAATCCTATGCAGGCTCTGCATTGTCAGCATGGAGCCTGATATGGAGCTCAAACTCATGAACTGTGAGATCATGATCTGAGCTGATGTTAGACGCTTAACTGAATAAGCCACTCAGGTGCATCTATACTCAGGTGCCTCTTTCTTAAGAAGGCAGATCTCATTGCAAGTGTTCTTACCACAATAAAACTAAAACAAAGAAAAAGGAAAAAGAAAGAAGAAAGAAAATAACAGGACTTAAGGAAAATGGATTGGAGCAGATTACTCAAAACTTAATTTTTTTAAATCTTTATTTATTTTTGAGAGTGAGTGAGAGAGAGAGAGAGAGTGAGCAGGGGAGGGGCAGAGAGAGGGAGTCACAGAATCCAAGGCAGGCTCCAAGCTCTGAGCTGTCAGCACAGAGCCCGACATGGGGCTCGAAACACAAACCGCGAGATCATGACCTGAGCCGAAGTCAGACGCTCAACCGACTGAGCCACCCAGGAGCCCCCAGATTACTCAAAATCTATGCAACTTTGTAACAAAAACAATTAAACCCTAGTAAAAATACCAGCATAGTTTAAATATTGAATAATCAAAGACTTTACCTTAAAAAAAAGTGATGGCCACTTGATAAAAGGGTAAGAAAAAAAGAGAAAGGATTGGGGTCATCAAACATGGAGGCAAGGATAAAATACCCAAAGATGGGGGATAATCACAAAGTAAGTCGTTCCTAACACAGAGCCCACAGCCAAACCAGGTTAAGAGAAAGAGTATAGGAAGAGACAGCACTGATAGGTGGTTTGCTGCCTTCAGCTATGTTCATGTACTTGGTTTTAGTAGCCTTTACATGAACCAGCAAAATTTCCTCATCATATTGTCACCACTGTCCTATTTATCAATCACAAATGAGTTAATTTACATTAATTAACACAACACATTGCACCTACCCCATTTAAACTACAAGGCCTTTGTGGGCAGATCATTCATTTTTGTACCCTTAGTATCCAGTACATATTCTAGGCACGTTGTAAATGTCAAAAATGATTATTTTCCTTTAAAAATGTATGTGTTACCATTTAAAAGTATTTTTTTTCAAAAACCTTTTAACATTAAAAAGAAACATGCACCAACAAAAACTATATATCTTCTCTAATATTCTTGCTCAAGACATTCCAAATCAGAGCTAGAATACTAACTATATAGGTCCTAAACGGGGGGGCGGGGGGGGCGGGGTGGGGGAGAACACAAAAGATTCTAATAACTGAAAATAGTTTCTGATATATATTGTGATGATAGGTAAAAGGAAGTAACACTGTAGAACACATTCTTATAGTGTTCAAAATTCAAAGGATAAGACAACGATAGATCCAAGCAAAAAAACTTTTAATTCATTCTTACATTCTGATGCATTCCGTTTGAAAATATTCAGGGGGCGCCTGGGGTGGCTCAGTCAGTCAAGCATCTGACTCTTGATTTTGGCTCAGGTAATGATCTCACAGTTTGTGGGGTCGAACCCCATCTATGAGTAGAGCCTGCTTAAGATTCTCTTGCTCCCTCTCTCTCTACCTCTCCCCTATGCATGCGCTCTCTTTCTCTCCCTCTCTCTCTCACACATAAATAAATAAACCTAAAAAAAAAAAAAAAAAAAAAAAAAAAAAAAAAAAAAACAACGAAAAATTCAGAATTCCTTTAAAAAATTCTTTCTCTACTATATTAGTACACATAGCATATTTAATAGGTGATTTATAATTACTGCAAGTAAAAATATCATTTGACCTTACCAGAATCTGTCCACACTTTTTAACGTTTATTTTTTGAGAGAGAGAGACAGAGCAAGCACATGGGTGCAAGTAGGGGAGGGGCAGAGAGAGAGGGGGACAGAGGATCTGAAGGGGACTCTGTGCTGACAGCAGAGAGCCCAATACAGGGCTCGAACTCATGAACCATGAGATCATGACCAGAGCTGAAGTCAACGCTTAACCAACTGAGTCACCCCGGCACCCCTGTCCACATTTTGATGATAAAAAAAATCCATGATGGCAGCTTGCCTGCTACACTGCCTTGCCAAGTCATCTAATAATTGCCATAGGTAAATATACATTTTCCTGGCTGACAGTCAATAAATTCAGTACAGCAAGATCAACAAAACTCATCATGTTTTCTATGGTTTTATGGACCCTAAAACCTGGGCAAAAGTAGCAACCACCAAAATTACTTATAGTTTTGGTTTTATACCCAATAAAAACAGCCAGTTAATGTCTAGATAGAAAGAGAAACTTCTCAATTACTACCTGAAAATTGAAAATAGTTTCTGATATATATTGTGATGATAGGTAAAAGGAAGTAACATTGTAGAACACATTCTTATAGTGACTTCTTACCTGAAGTCATCCAGTGTCTCCTGTATCATATTCTGAATAAACCGGATTTGAACGGATGTCAATGGTGCATTTGGCCGATTATTTCCAATGGTATCAGCTATTTTTTCTGATAGTGAACTGGCAACTCCAGCAGTGACAGAGGATGCTATCTTTGGATCTAAAATAAAAAATGGAGAAAATATTAATAGTCAGCTTAAACTAAGAGATATCAAACATTTGTAAATAAGATTTGGCATGAGAAGACTAGAAAAACAGGTAAAGAACAGCATTCCTGCAACATTTAGAAAAACTCACTGTCTGGAATACAAATCTTAGAAACTTTCTAGGACATTATTTCTAATACCCATTTATCTATCTATATGAACTGCCAACTGTCTAATATAATAACATATGACAGAGGGATTAATCTTGAAGAATCTCGGAACCATTTCCTCTTACAAAAGATGAATGTGACATGTTGCACCACAAACTAGATAAACCAAGACTATTAAACATAAACAGAGGGAATACAGAAGTAAAGTACTGCTACAAGCAAAGCCCCAGAGTTTACGCTAATACGTCCACAGAAACCTTAAAGTGATATATATCTAAATAAGAGTTTCTTCCATACAAAGAGTTGTTTTCTATAGATAACTCTTATAAATGAAACAAATACTCCATTAAATGTGATCAAGTTTTTAGGATCTATGGCATGAACCCTACATTAATATGGAATACGGCTTTAATATGGAAGGGGACAAAAAGACAATTCCAGGTAGTTAACGACTCATTTCCAAAGGGTCCTATGTTATATTCCTATTTGTACCATATTAGATCAAGACCCTTACATATTAGATTGAAAATAAAATTCAGACCAAAGGAGTATAGAATCAGGTTGTTGAGTTTAACCATTCATATGCATGTCACTTTCCTCTAGTAAGAGTCACAGTAGAAAAGTGCTGTAAATTTTAAACTCCTTTACCTTTCTTACCCTATGATCACTCTATTTATTTATCCTTTTCTTTTTTTTTTTTTTTAATTTTTTTTTTCAACGTTTATTTATTTTTGGGACAGAGAGAGACAGAGCATGAACGGGGGAGGGGCAGAGAGAGAGGGAGACACAGAATCGGAAACAGGCTCCAGGCGCTGAGCCATCAGCCCAGAGCCTGACGCGGGGCTCGAACTCACGGACCGCGAGATCGTGACCTGGCTGAAGTCGACGCTTAACCGACTGCGCCACCCAGGCGCCCCTATTTATCCTTTTCAAGTTAACTAGAGGGAGTTTTCAACCTAACACTTTCAAACATCAGGGAGTTTTATGTACTTACTTGGAGTTGAGGATCCATTGACCGGGGGTTCATATATTAACTGGGCTTCGATTTCTTTCTCTGGTTTTTCAAATTTCTCAGGACTTCTTGTTTGGTTAGATGGTGGAGAGGTATTCAGATTTCCAGTTTCAGCACCAGGGATCAACTTTGCAAACTTCACATTGAAAATAAAAAAATTCATATATAAATTTTGGTTTTACCCTTATTATACATATAATTTATACCTACTTATCTTTTTTTCTAGTAGGTAGGGTCAGGAAAATGAAAAATAAGAGGGATATAGAAGAAGAAAAAAAATTGCTACAACTAGTGGTAAAATAAATCCTGTCCACGAATCAAAAACAATTTCAATGAGAACATGATGGGGAAGAGCTCACTTACTAAGCATCTGCTGTTGAATATCTTTAAAATGGTAATCACAGGCAAAAAACAAACAAACAAACAAACAAACAAAAAACAACCAGACTCTCACATGGTAACTAGTCAGAAATATTTGAGAAGTCAAAAGACATTTTTGTACTTCTTCAATATCTTTCCAGTATCATCCTAAAAAAATCAATATGAAAATAAACATAGTATAGAACAGACTCAGCCTTTCTGGTAACATTTGATCATTTTAAGCCCTTATGTAGCAAATTAACTTCTATTTTGGATACTGTATCAGAGCAGAAGATAATAAGGATCTATTATATTCTTAGCTCCACCCCTTTGCTCTAAGACTTAGGGTAAATGACTTGACTACCAATTGGTGCTTTCTGCAGCAATGGAAATAAATTCTAAAAAACTCAGGTAGAAACTATTCTTAGACAGTCAAGTATTTTGTCATAGAAAAAAACAGTTTAAGTTTACGTCTGCTTTTACCTCCAAAGTTTTCAAAGACAGATTTCAAAAGCATCCTTCAGTTTTTAACACATGACATCAAGATTCAAGAATATTTTTCTAGCTGGTAGGTGCACAGCACTGTTAGTAATCAGGACACATCCCTGGCAGCTGCCTGCTTTCCGTCTAGTGATGAGCTTCCTTATGCTACTGACAAATCCACACAGCGAGTTCAGTACCGTTTTCAGGCAGATACCTGTTTGAAGGAGTCCTTAGGTTCCTGTTTTCCCAGATATATTTTCTTAGATTCAGCTGTCAGATCATGATTTTCATTTTCTTCTTTCCCTGGAGATCCCATAAAAACGTTAAGAGGACTAGAATGCAATACTGAAGTGCTTGACGTTCCTGGGTTTTTTCTTGGAGGAAAGACTGAGTTCAATTGTGGTAGAAAGTCAAGGCCTGAAAAACAGGAGAAAAAAGCTATTTGCATATGATTTTCTCCAATCTTGAATATTTAAGAAAAGCACTTAATACGACAGACAGGTTAATATGGTAGAAAGACATGCGATTTGGATTCAGAAGACAGGTTCATTTGTCAGCTCTAGCCCTTATTTGATGTACACAAAATCTTGGGCAAAAACTGTAAAACTCTTGTTTCCTGATCGGTAAATGTGATGCTGACATCCATCTGTCTCAGTACTAAGGCTTAAAAGAGATATTATACGTAAAAATACTTTGAAAATCACAAAGCCCAATTAATGTTTTAGTCAATATTATTAGTTTTTGATAACTGAAAATTGTTAATTTAGTATTTATCTGCAGCATATCTTGATAGGCAGCCTCTAAGATGGCTCTGAATGAGCCCTGCCTTCTGGCATGGATCCATGCCCTCGAGTAATTCCCTCCCTTTGAATGTGGGCTGAACCTAGAAACTTGCTTCCGAAGAAGACAATACAGCAAGAATGGTGGGGTGTCACTTCCAAGATTAGGTTACAAACATGCCGCAGCTTTCATTTTGAGGGCCCTCTCTCACTGTCTTGCTCACCAGCTCTGAGGGAAGCCGGCTGCCATGTTGTCAGGTGCCCTGTAAGAGGCCCACATGGGAAGGACTGGTATATTCTGCTAGTAGGCACATGAATGATCATGCAAGTAGATCCGTGCCCAGTCAACCCTGGAGATGACTGCAGCCCTGTTGATATCCTGATTAAACTAAGCCATGCTCAGATTTTTAACCCACAATTATGAGGTGATAAATATTCTCTTAAGCTTCAATGTGTTGGGGTAATTTGTTACACATCAATAGATAACACAATACCATTTTTAATTTTCATAAAAATACTTCTCAGTAGTTCTTACCATCTTTGCCTATGGACTCATCACCTCCCTTGTTAACCACAGCATCTATAATAAAATTAGAAAATCAAATTTTTTAAATTGTGAAAAAGAAGCCATAGCAAAAATTCTCCAAAGAGTTCGATTTCAAAAAGGAAAAGTTACAGTTGGGACTCATATAAACTTCCCTTTTCACTCTTTTACCTTCATGCAGAGCAGCAAGTATGAAAAGTAATTCTACGGTATAGGGTCGTTTAATGTGACAGCAAGGTATATGAGAAACGCATTGTAGTAGGCTCCAGAAATCTATAATCCAGTTCTGCCTATACCATTCAATAGCTCTAAGACCTTAGACAAGCTTTTTATACAATTAGCTTTAGTTTCTGCAACTATATAATGAAGATAATGTCTGGACCACCTCACAAAGTTGTTATGAGGATCAAGTGAAACAATGTGAAACTATTTTGCAATACAATGATATAAAAAACATGTTTCCATTAATGTTTTAATGACAGAATATGTATAAGAAAATTCCAATACTGTAATACTATTCATTTACCAATTAATATCTAAAAGTTGTTCAACTCCATTTTAGCTAATTAATAGAAAAACGGGCAAAAGTCATAAAAAATTCACCAAAAATTCAAATGGCCAATAAATTATCATATGTGATTATCACAGTAATAGGACTATCATCCATCCATCCATCTGCATGTGTGTATATATACCTACTAATTGTACAAAAAACATACACTTTATTTTATTTATTTATTTTTATTATTTTACACAGCCTTCACACCCAGTACAGGGCCTGAACACTCAGAACCCTGAGATCAAGAGTCAGATGCTCACCCAACTGAGCCACCCATGCACTACCCCTTCTTTATTTTACACATATACTTTAAGAAATTATTAGTTTCCCTTAACAAAAGCAGAAATATTCTTACTCAAAAGATGAAGACATTAAGGCAAACAGATTAAGCAGAGTTGAATTCTTGAGATCAAAACACAAGTCTCTTGACAATGAAAATCAGTAGTATATTTATTATCCATGTTTTTTTCTTATTAATGATATGAAAGTCTAATAAATGAAGGGCATAAGGTTCAATCATATTTTTAAAAAGTAAAGAAGAATTTCTATCCTTTATTCATTTCTCTAAAAACCATTAAAGAGAATTTCATTTATAACTCAAACACTTTCAAAAAGCCCCTTCCTACATTCTTCAATTCAAAAGTTACCCCAGGGGTTCTCATAAGCCAAAGTTCCCCAGATGGTTACTAACCTCCAAAACCTTTCTCAACTCCAGCCCATGCCATTCTACTCTCCTTTGCCCACATCTTTCCTGTCTTTATTCTTTAACTATGTAGTCTGACCTCTCTTCATCCTGAAAGAAAGGAATGCTTTCTCTTTCATTAGGTAGAAGACAGGGAAATCTGACCCGGCAAATAGTCATTTTCAGGGCATGGTAAGACATAAAGCACTAAGTCATTCTGTGCCATCACACATGTACTTTATTTTTTTTAAGATATTTATTTTTTTAATGTTTATTTATTTTTGAGAGAGAGAGAGAGAGAGAGAGAGAGAGAGAGAGAGAGAGAAGCGCGGAGAAAGGGAGACACAGAATCGGAAGCAGACTCCAGGCTCTAAGCTGTCAGCACAGAGCCCAAGACGGGGCTCAAAGTCACGAGCCTGAGATCACAAACTAAGCTGAAGTGGGACATTTAACCAACTGAGCCACCCAGGCACTCCTACTTATTCTAATTATGAAATTAATTGTAGAAAATTTGGAAAGTAGATAATTTTAAAGAAAAAATGAAACTCTATAAGATCAAGAGTGGATGTAACAATTTAAACATACTGCTACTGCTGACATTTAGGTTTGCTCCAGAATTTCAATACCATAAACAGTAAACATACAAATCTTTGTAGGATACTGTGAATATGCTATTAGGTAAATTTACAGAAATAGAATTAACAGGCCAAAGGGTACGAATATTTAAGCATGCCAAATTATGCTCTAGAAATTTACCCATATTGTTGATAATACTGCTGTTAGCAGTGAGACCATCCCATTAATGAAAACAGTATGAACATCAGTACCAAAAAAACACATCCAAATAATGTGCCCGGTTCATACAGTATGAACAACAATGATATATGTTTCTATATATCAAAATGACAAGTTTTTTATGTTTTTATTTTCTTTTTAATGGCAACATCTCCTAGCAATGGGGAGAGGAGGGAGGGAGGGAAGGAAGGAAGTAGAGAGACTGTGTGTGTGTGTGTGTGTGTGTGTGTAGTACTTTCACACATAGTGTAAAAGATGAGGCAATCTATCACCTAGCCATATTTCTTCATGAAAACAATGAATAAATAACAATTAGATACTAATAATAAAAAACAATTTTTTTAGGTTAAAAGGTATTTTTTGCCTATCAAAATATCTAAGAATTTAAGATTTATTAGAAACTAAAAAACTGCCTATGGAGGCAAAATTTCCTTTAAGACACTTCTGTGGAAATTAAAATGCTAACTTGAGAGCTATTTGCATAGTTCCCATGTGAAAATGACAAGCGTATACTTTAGAATGGTAACATCTGAAATATCAGGGCAAAGGAAAAGATACCACCCCAGGGACTGAGAAAATTAGCAACTGTCATGAACAGAAACAGACTGAAGCTATTACCCACATCTTTTAGCGAGACTAAAAATGTAATGACTGCCAGCAAGAGAACATGATCCTCTGATCTGAAAAGACTTACCATCTCTAATCGGTGAAAACATGTCACCTAAACTACTTTTTCCAGTATCATCAAAGCTGAAGAAATCCTGATTTTTCCCACTGTCCGTTTCCTTAGATATAATATCAGTGTTTATGCTTCGAGGCAAACCTTATAGGAAAATTAGATATAAAAATAAATGTTAATACAGCCAAAAAAAAATTTATCATCAGAAGCTCAGTTCTAAAAATTAATGCATTACCATATCACTGGTAACATTACAACTATGAGCATCAGGAAAACAAAATAATATAACAACAGCTCAGTTAACCATGATTTTCATGTAATGAAGGGCTCCTCAAAAGCAAATAATCTATTCATTTATATAATACCATCTTATTTTAGCCTTTTTGATGAAATTTTTCTAAAATAATTTATATACTTTGCTACCCTCTTAAACAGTGTACTGAACACAACCAACTTCTATTAGAACAGACTCACTTTTATGATCATCTATAAATGATTAAAGAAGTCTGTGAAGCATTTAGCATGATGCCTGACACAGAGCAGATTCAAGTAACGTTAGTTCCTTTCCCCAACAGTAAATGGATCTCTTTTTGCCCTCTTCTGTCTTTTCCTTCACTAACAGTGGAAGCTTAACATGCTCTTGGTATTATCGACCTCGAATGACTTCACTAGCCTCAGGATAGTTTACTAGAAGGAAGGAAACCAGAATACTAAACTCATAAAGAATAGCATAGCAGACAATAATAAAGAGCCACACGGTTTTGTTTTCCCTGCCAGTATATAATGCAAGGGATTAGGGCAGGGACTTTGGAAGAGGAACTCTGTGAGCTCAGTAGCTTCTTGCTCATTTCTGGGTTGAGGACTGAGTTCTAGAAATTCGAGACCTGTGATGAAAATCTGGTGTTTTAATTGGTAGCATGTTACTGTATTACACTATCATTTAAGTAGTGTTTTATTTGCTATCTTGGTCCCAAGATCCTGAAAAGCTAGGATAAAAACAAAGAACAGCCAGCATATCCAAAAATGTCCAAGTCTCGCAAATGAAATAAACTTTTATAATAGTACCTGATAGAAAGTTAAAATATTACTGAACATTTGTACACCACTATCATTGAAGTGTTTACACCAAGAGTTGAATTGTTATAAAGAAGAAATTTTCTCTTCTTCTTCTAGGTCGTTAAACATTATGAATGCATAACTCTAGCCTCTGGAACTTTAGGAAACAGAAGTTTAGTAGCATTTGGAAGTAGTGCTAAAGCCTTATGTTTTTACTTCTTTTTTTTTTTTTTATTTTTTTTTTTCAACGTTTATTTATTTTTTGGGGACAGAGAGAGACAGAGCATGAACGGGGAAGGGGCAGAGAGAGAGGGAGACACAGAACCGGAAACAGGCTCCAGGCTCTGAGCCATCAGCCCAGAGCCTGACGCGGGGCTTGAACTCACGGACCGCGAGATCGTGACCTGGCTGAAGTCGGACGCTTAACCGACTGCGCCACCCAGGCGCCCCTGTTTTTACTTCTTAAATGGCTGTTTCCTACTGAAAGTGAGCACTAGCAATAAATCTGCAGAGGTTTATTCTTTTTTAATTTTTTTAAATGTTTTTATTTATTTTTGAGACAGAGAGAGACAGAGCATGAGCAGGGGAGGGGCAGAGAGAGAGGGAGACACAGAATCTGAAGCAGGTGCTCCAGGCTCTGAGCTGTCAGCACAGAGCTCGACGCGGGGCTCGAACCCACGGACCATGAGATCATGACCTGAGTCGAAGTTGGACGCTCAACCAACTGAGCCACCCAGGCGACCCAAGGTTCTTTATTTTTTATAAGTTTTTATTTAAATTACAGTAGGTTAACATACAGTATAATATTAGTTTCAGGGGTACAATATAATGAGTCAACACTTCCATACAAGACCCAGTGCTCATCACAACAAGTGCCCTCCTTAATCCTCATCACCTATTTCACCTATCCCCGACCCACCTCCCCTCTGGTAACAGTTTGTTCTCTAGAGTTAAGAAAAAGCAAAGCTGGAAGCAACACAATTCCAGACTTCAAGTTCTACTACAAGGCTGTAGTGATCAAAACAGTATGGTAGTGGCACAAAAATAGATACACAGATCAATGGAACAGAATAGAAATCCCACAAAGGAACTATATGGTCAATTAATCTTCAACAAAACAGAAAAGAAAATCTAGTGGGAAAAAGTCTCTTCAACAAATAATGTTGGGAAAACTGGACAGCAACATGTGGAAGAATGAAAGTGGACCACTTTCTTACACCATACACTTAACTCAAAATGGATCAAAGACCTAAATGTGAGACATGAAACCATTAAAATCTCAGAGGAGAACACAGGCAGTAACCTCTTTGACATGACTCACAGCAACTTCCTTCTAGATATGCCACCTGAGGAAACAAAAGCAAAAGTAAACTACTGGGGATTCATCAAAATCAAAATCTTCTGCACAGCAAAGGAAACAATCAACAATACTAAAAGGCAACCTACGGAATGGGAGAAGATATCTGCAAATAACATATCTGATAAAGGGTTAGTATCCAAAATCTGTAAAGAACTTCTAAAACTCGACACTCAAAAAACAAATAATCCAACTAAGAATGGGTGGAAGACATGAATAGACATTTCTCCAAAGAAGACATGCAGATGACCAACAGACACATGAAAAGATGCTCAACATCACTGATCATCAGAGAAAGATGAATCAAAACTACAATGAGACATCACCTCACACCGGTCAGAATGGCTAAAATCAACAACACAGGAAACAACTGGTATTGGTGAAGATGTGGAGAAAGGGGAACCTTCTTGCACTGTTGGTGGGAATGCACTGGTTGGCGCCTTTAGTAGAGCAACATAAACTTTTTTCAAATCTCAGACTCATTTTAGGGAGTTTAAAACAATAGTAATAGTAATGATGAAAACTGTGATGACAGTATTAGTAAAACCATAATTTACTGAGAGCCTATTGTGTGCCTACTGATATATTTTCTCTGGTTTTCATAATATCGCTAAAAGTTAAATATTATCTATGGAAGAAAAAATAAGACTCAAAGTGGTTAAAAAACTGCCCAAAGTCATCCTAGCAGGAAGTCACAGACCCAAGACTATGTCTAACAAACTCTCTGTTTCAGAGCGGGGAAACGTACATGTATGTGTATGTAAGAGAGAGCAAACGATGAAGCAAATGTGGCAAAATTTATAAAACAGTGAATCTGCTGAAGAGTATACTAGAGCTCAGGAGTTCTTTATACTATTTTTGAAAATTTTCTATAAGTTTGCAATTATTTCAAAATAAAATTAATAAATAAAAGTTTCTAACTCTTTGTGGGTACAGGGCAAACATTCATTTTGTCAGAAACTTTGCTAATCAGCCAAGAGTTATCATTAATCAGTGACCCTGCAGACCCAAGTCTTGCATTGCCTAATTAATGCTGTCATCGTTACATGAGTTTCCTTATTAAAAACTAAATGAATAACAGTGAGATTTCATAAAGCTCAGAGTAAATGAGAGAAACTTTATTTTATTTAACTTTGGAAATATGAATAAAATCAGTAATAATAAAATTATCTTTGAAAATAGTGACAATTTTCATAATATAGTTAATTCAACATCTTGGCAAACATTACTCAAAGTTATATTTCAAACTTAATTTCTTCTTCTAAGTATATGGCAATAATATTTGCTTCCAGGAGTTCTTAAATAAGAATTATTTTTTTATATAATATGTAATGACTTTTATGTAAGGATGATATAGATATTAACAGAAAATTTATAATGAATATATATACTATTTTTTTTTAAAAAGCTATTCCATACTATCAAGGCTAACAAAGTTTTGCTTCTACTTGAAAATCATAAACTCATGCTGAGAAGGTACCAACCAATACTTGTGTCCAAGTTAAGTATTTGTCCTGAAACCTTAAAAAGACATGGATACATCCATTTCTAATGAGACTAGTTTGGAAACAGAGTGGTATATATACCATGCAGGCTTTTAAAAAATATGTTGTAAGGTGATAGTATAGCATAACTTAAAATAAAAAAAAAAAAAAAAAAAAAAAAAAAAAACGTTTTCAGGAATTGAGAGAAAAAGAATATTCTCTATAGTAAACAGGGAAGCTTATCATCATATTACACCTTCACAAAGTCTAAATGAATTTTTTAAGAACCATTTTATCAATATGATTATTGGAATAGAAGAAATTATTTAAAAATGACAACACTTTTGGGGCGCCTGGGTGGCGCAGTCGGTTAAGCGGCCGACTTCAGCCAGGTCACCATCTCGCGGTCCGTGAGTTCGAGCCCCGCGTCAGGCTCTGGGCTGATGGCTCAGAGCCTGGAGCCTGTTTCCGATTCTGTGTCTCCCTCTCTCTCTGCCCCTCCCCCGTTCATGCTCTGTCTCTCTCTGTCCCAAAAATAAATAAACGTTGAAAAAAAAAATTTTTTTTAATAAATAAATAAATAAAAATGACAACATTTTTGTTTCTTTTTGTTTAACAAACTACTAATATACTGCTTAATAGGTGCCAGGCACTAGTCAGCACTTAAATAAATTCACTTCATCACCTGACTTACTTTGTTATGAAATATGAAATAAAAGAAGTCACTAATAGCTTTTTTTGTAACTCAGAGATCAAATCAAAGTGACAACATCAAAGAATCATATTCTCTATTGATTAATCTGAAGACACAAGACATCCAGTCTGGAGTGGTATTAAGGATAATTTCTAAATTGGTATTATTCTATTTGTAAGGTAATATTTCTTACAACAAAAGTTCAGCTAGGGGCACCTGGATGGCTCGGTCGGTTGAGCGTCCGACTTTGGCTTAGGTCACGATCTCACAGTTCCTGAGTTTGAGCCCCACGTCAGGCCCTGGACTGACAGCTCTGAGCCTAGAGCCTGCTTTGGATTCTGTGCTTCCCTCTCTCTCTCTGCCCCTCCCCCACTTGTGCTCTCCTTCTCTGTCAAAAATAAATAAACATTAAAAAAAAAGTTTAGCTAAATAGATTAAGTACCTTTCATTAATTTTTAAAAAATTTATAGCTCAAGTTAAAATGGTTACTTCTTCCATTTTTACCACCTACTAATAATTTTACTTAAATACACAAGTGAATTTGAGTTCTAGGCTCTTGAAGAAAGTGCTAATAATATATATTGGGGTGGGGTGCCAGGTGGAAACTCCAAATACCATAAATGCATAAGCAGCATTTACCTGCTTTGTCTTGAACAGCAACTGCTCCTTTTCCCCCAGCTGTTGTCATGGGCTGTGGGAGAGCTGTGCCAGTGGAAGAGGTGGCTGCTTCTCGGCCGACTCCAGAATTCTGAACTGCTCCACTGGTAGTGCTCACATTAATGGCTCGTTTGTTCACAGCTGTGGGCTTATTTGAACAGCCTTTATTTAAACTTGACTGAAATGTAATGGAATATTTAAAAGCTCAGGTTTCTAATGCTCCATAGTATACATTAATATTTTATCAATTCCTTGTTAGGATAAAAATACATATATTTTCCCTTACAAATCTTAAGGCTGCTGATGAATCTGAGAGTTTCCCTCTGAACCAAAAAGGCTTTTAAAATATTTTTGAAGAAATACGAGAATTAAGGACAAAAAAATAGTTTAAAACCAAGTATCAAATAACTTTGTATCAAAATTATTTAAAATGCTTTCATATAAGAATGATCATAAAGCAAAACTACAATGTGTTTAATGGACAAAATATGACTTCCATATTCTGAGTTACACTTATTTAGTAAAATCCAAAATAATCAAAAGAAAGAAAATACCTTACCTTAGAAAGAGCAGTGGAGTACTGAAATGCTATACATCGCACAGAAGTCTTGTGAGCAGTGATGGTTTTAACTGGTGATTTCAACATCCTTAAATCATATTGATATATTTTCCCACGGGAAGATCCAATAGCCAAAGTGGCTCCATCAGGCATGAAATCTACTGCAGTTAGAGGGGTATCGGCCACTAGCGTTTTCACTAGCCTTTCGAAAGGGGAACAAAGTCTATGTAGGTATGTGAGTATATACAGGTATACAAGCATATGTGACGTTAGACGGCTATCGACCAAAACCAAAGTTACTTAGAATACACATCCCAAATATTTGCATAAAGCAGAAATTCAGAATTAGAGACATTTCTAATACAATGGCAGATAAAGGAACTGCTGAACACATCATTCTATTTTTCTATTCACTTCCAACAGGTTAATTTCTACATCTTCAGAAGCAATATGTATTCCTTTGAGTAATTACTACTTTGACCGTGAACGTGACAGACTTCCTGGTGTTACTCCACAAACAAGGGTTCTAGTCTCAGGGTTAAGGAGGCCCTAAGTATCCCCTTTCCATTTATTGACCTGCTCAAGTCTCAAGAGGACTATGACCTTTCATCACAGGGGAGCAGCTGTGCATTTCTTGACCAAAAAGCTAACAATCCATGTAGCTTGATCCTCATGAAGCCAATACAGAAATATGGATACTGATATGCTGAAGCTGAGCTTTTTGCCACAGTGTCTGGTGTACGAGAGAAATGCTTACTGACTCTTAAGGTTCTCAGCAAATTAGTTAACAAGAAAGAGTAAAACAGAACGATTTTTAAAAAAGAAAGTGAAACAAGTAAACTTTTAACAAGGGCTGATAGTGGGTCCTTCCCTAGTAGTAACATTACCATTTTCTTCCACACAATCTTTAGATATGGTTAGGTGTTTTGAATATACCTGTAGCACTCTTATAACCATTTTTTTTTTTAACAGCTAACCAAGCACAGCTATAACTGTAAGAAAGAAAAGAAGGCACAACTAACCCAGATACTTAAAAGATTACATACCCTTTAGCTCTAGATCAGTGGTTCTCAACTAAGGGCAATTTTGCTACTCTTGCTAATTTGGGGAATACTACTAGCATCTAGTGGGTAGAGGCCAGGGATGCTGCTGAATATTCTACAATACCCAGGACAGCCACCCCACCCCCTGCCCCCACACCCCACATCCAAGAATTATCCAGCCCAAAATGTTAGCAGTTTAGAAACATTGCTGTAGATAATGAATTAATTTTAAAGCAAATTAGGGGCGCCTGGGTGGCTCAGTCGGTTGAGCGTCCGACTTCACCTCAGGTCACGATCTCGCGGTCTGTGAGTTCGAGCCCCGCGTCGGGCTCTGGGCTGATGGCTCAGAGCCTGGAGCCTGCTTCTGATTCTGTGTCTCCCTCTCTCTCTGCCCCTCCCCTGTTCATGCTCTGTCTCTCCCTGTCTCAAAAATAAACAAACATTTAAAAAAAATTTTTTTAAAGCAAATTAATCATATTGCCTTAAAAAATATATTCAGTTGTATTTTTGAAAAAAAATACTATGCCTGTGTGCTAAAATAAAGATGTGCAATCATTAACATGCTATTCTTAACATTCATCATCTAGATGTACTCTAAAGAACATCCACATTTCATCTATTTTTTTCTGCATGTGAGAAAAAAGAGAAAATTTGATCTTTTAGACATCAAGTACACAAACTTCAGATGTCCCAAACATTAATCAGAGGTCTATGCAAATCACAAATATGCCTGCTAATGAGATTACAGTTATTTGTTACTAAATTAAGAAATGATCATGTCACACTTACTTCTTACTTGAAGTATCATAGAGAATGATTCTTTTATCCAAGCCTATAGTCACAAATAGCAATTCATTGACAGGAGAAAAACAGATGCCAGAAGCTGGAGCTTTATGTGTACTGTCAAAGTTATGGTATGGACTCTGGCTATTCACATCCCAGAGAGTTACTACTCCGTTATCCGAAACACTGCCCAGTAGTGATTTCTTAAACAAGGAGTACTTCAAGTGCCGAACAGACTATGAAAATAAGAATAAATTTTATGTAACTGTAAGCATTCATAAGAACATTTTATATAAACTATATAAATAATGGCCAACCATCAACCACACTATTCACAGGGGATTTAGGACCTCTCTGGTTTATAGAGTAACAGGTTTTAATTATGACAACCATAAAATCATTTAGTGGGCTATAAGATGACCCCAATACATACCAATATTCTAGTAATTAAATCTGTCATGATTTTATTATCTTGGAATAGAGCTACCTCAATCTCCCCTTTTGCGGAGGAAAAATACAAGATGTTGAGATTACTACATTAATTCATCAGGATTAGGAACATCTACCATAAATAAAAGGCCCAGTAGTAGCCAATCACAGCTAAAACACGAACAAGTGTAAGAGAACACTGGCAGAGAATGAGCAATATTTCAAATTTATTTTCTATATGTATTTTAGATATTTGGATATATTTGTTTGAATCTGAGCATCTGATGTACTGGCAATTTAACACCTGAAGCATAATAAAAAATTAACTAAATCATAAAGAAATAATTGACAACACTATAGACTGGGAATGGACAATATCCACTCTTTCAAAGGCATCAGCCTGAGGGCAATACTGGCCTTTCTCTAAACACTCCTCCCTGGGGGCAGTGGAGACATACTCTTTCTAGTTTCTGTTGGACCAGAATAAACAAAGATTCAGTTTGAGTAAACAGGTCTTGAATTAAAACTGGATGAATTTTATCCACTTTTACTAAAATGTTGCTTTCAAACTTGTATTGATATTATCATTCACTGAGCAGAGGATTAAATATTTTACATTTAAACTAATTTTTCATTGCACAGAACCAGCAATATAAACATAGAAATTAAAAGTAGAATCCAGAGTGGGAAACTGGCTCTAAGACATCTTCAAAGAGTTAAGTTACAGTACTGAATAAAGCAATAAAGCAGTCACTAGGAGATAGTAGCCATATATATATTAGAGGTTCCAGATAAAAGTGGCACAGAACAAAAGTCAAATCTGAAGGTTGTTTGTGTCTTCTATCCAGTTTAATCTATCACACTCCAAAAGGATTTGAAACCACTAGCCTCTATGTATTAAAAACTCATATACTACTATCTACGAAGATATTTTAACATAAGATACAACAGCCCTCGACAACTAAAATATTTAGGAATAATACAAAACAAATTCTGTCCAAGGAAACAAAAGGAGTATTTGTTACCAGATACCCAAGATAAGATAATTACTATGGTCGTCCATTAAATTTGGCTCCTCATTTTCATATGATTAGAGTACAAACAGAAAGCGTTGGTTTATATTTTGCATATTTGTTGAGGAAAAGTATATCCACTCAAATAGCCAAATCTTTCCTCTGGTCTATACTCAAGAAAAAATACACTACTCACAGCTTAACTATATAAAAGACACAGAGATTTTTTAGTGAATTGTGATGTTTATAGAGTCACATATCAACCCATCAAAACATAAGCAAGACAATTTTTTAAAAAATTCTGCAGCATGTTAAGAGTTCATATAGTTAGGGTCCTTCATAAAATCTAAATTTGAATTTTTTTTTTTAACGTTTACTTATTTTTGAGACAGAGAGAGACAGAGCATGAACGGGGGAGGGTCAGGGAGAGGGAGACACAGAATCTGAAACAGGCTCCAGGCTCTGAGCCGGCAGCACAGAGCCCGACGCGGGGCTCGAACTCACAGACTGCGAAATCATGACCTGAGCCACAGTGGGCCGCTTAACCGACTGAGCCACCCAGGCGCCCCTCATAAAATCTAAATTTGAATTAAATACACAGGCATAACTGAAATAAATAAATAAATAAAACCATAAAATCACAGACCTCCTAGATCCTCAAAGTACATAAAATTCAACCTCTTAGTCATAGCAGGAGTCCTTAAAATATGGTCATCCAGAATCTATTTGAATATAGCAAGGAACAAGAAGCTTACTACTTTATATAATGAAACTTTATAAATAGTTAAAAATGTATTTCTTGATTAAATCAAATTCTAAATTCCAAGTTTGCTTTATATTCTGTGGACCTGTATGGCAACTCTTTAGGAAAAGGCTAAAGAAAACCATAAATCTTCCTCTCAGATAACCTGGGTTCAAGTAGGGTCTCAGCCAAGTTCTGCAGGTCTTGGGTACTTACACTCTCCAAGCCTCAGTGTGCTCAACTACAAAACAGAAAACACTCTTGTTTTGCAGTCAAGGTTGTTCTGAGGATTAAATAGTTTCTGCGCAGAGCCAGGGACATAGCCCTGAGAATAGCCATCACTGCTATTCTCACATGACTCATTCTTCATTGGTTATGCACCCATCTGACCATCTTGGACATGTGTATATTTTTTAAAAAACCCATAAGTAGCTACACTGACTTCTTTAAATGGTTTCCCCTCTCTCTCTCTGAAAAAAGAGGTCTTGCTGATGTCTCTACATCTATTAAATCATGATGCCTTTAGAGTATCATTAAAAGAGTATCCATAATCCTGGATACCCAAACTATTAATCTGCTAAATTATATTTAAAATAAGTACTAATACATATTAGTATCAGCAGCACTTATTAAGCCCCTATGTTGCTCCAGATTCAAGCTACTTCTAAGAAAAAAAATATATTGCCAAGAACCTTATTTAAAAAATCCCTATAAAGCAGCAATACTATTTTTTCTCACATTATTATTATGTAAGAATGTATATGCCTGTGGAGAAATATATGTTTCTAAATATAAAAAATACATCACTCTAGATCTGGGGCTGGCCAACTTTTTCTCGAAGGATCAAATAGTAAATGTTTTATGCTGTTGTATCACAAAAGCAGTATGAATAAGCACAGATATGTTCCAATAAATTTTTATTTACAAAAATAATGGCCAGCTATTGGATCATGGTTTGTTGACACCTGCTATAAATGTTTGGGGGGAAAAAAAAACCACCCATAAAAAAAAAAAGAAGAGAAAAAACCATCCATAATCCTACCACCTACAGAAAAACTGGTTAACATTTAGTTTTGTTGTAAATAAGTCTTAGTTTTATTGTTTAAATATTTTTTTAATGTTTATTTTTGAGAGACAGAGTGCAAGCAGGGGAGAGACAGAGAGAGAGGGAAGGAGACACAGAATCCAAAGCAGGCTCCAGTCTCTGAGCTGTCAGCACAGAGTCCAATATGGGGCTTGAACCCACAAACCATGAGATCATAACCTGAGCCAAAGTCAGACACTTAACCAATTGAGCCACCCGGGCACCCCTGTTTAAATATTTTTCTGTGTTAATGTACGTTTGTTTGAATTCCAGTAAGGTATAAACAGAAAACCTGGGATCATACTTTATTAAGATGAAGTTGGTGTTTTCACTAATATTTTTATCACATGATTTTAACAGCTGGATAATACATGAATGTATTAGTATATCAATTTACCTAAATAATCTAACGTTGGACATTTAGGTTATTTCCAACTTCCAGTACCCTAACTATTATCATTTTTAAAAACTGCTAATTTCTGAAAGAATTTGTATTTCACTGCTGTTCATGCTTTAAAGGTTCCTGGATGAAAAATGCTAAATGACCATCTGTCTTCCTTTTTTTGTGAACTGCCCATTAATCTACTCTGTTTATTTTCTATTGGGCTATTAAGATTTTTTTAAATCCTATTTTGCAATTGATTTTCCTATTATAAAGACATTAATGCTCTCATAGGTATAAATATTTCCCCATTTTCCTTTCAATTTTGTTAATTTTTTCAAATCTTGCTTTTTGCCAGATTTTAAGTTTTATGTACTTAAATTTATCAAATTTGTTCCCCTGACTTATAACTTTGTTCTTATACATAGAAAAGCCTTACCTTCACAGAGATAAGAATGTACATTCATATTTTATTATAGTTTTATAATCTCTAATACTATATATACATATATAGATATATTAGACACCGTATATACATTATATACTGTATACTCTATATATGTGTACCTGTACACACATACATAAACATATACAATATCCCTTCAATTCCATTCCCCTGCTCTTCTTAATTTCCAGAGTCTCATTTCAAGCTCTAATTAACTGTCACTGGAGCTACTGCCCACTTCCATTCTTAGTGGCTTACTATCATCCTTCACACTACTACAGCAGTAACCTCTTCAAAACTGGAAATCTGAACATATTTGTCTTGCTTAATCAAAATCCTTTTAACTGGAGGACTCTGAAAAGCTGGTTATGGTAGTGGCAGAGTTTCTGAATCTCTCTGAATTCCATTTGTGTGTGTGTGTGTGTGTGTGTGTGTGTGTGTGTGTGTGTGATTATGCATACAGAAAAGACTTACCAAGCAGGTCTGGGCTGTCTATCCTTAACAAGTCCTACTTTTCAGAGTTGGCCCTTGGTTGTTGTCTGGGAACTGGGATTTGGGGAAGTTTCCACTACTGGTAAGAGTGGCTCACCATGCCTAAACTGTTTGTATAAAAGATACAGTTTATGGCTGAACCATGGCTGAACATCTGCTTTCCTTCTGGAAGTTTGAAAGTTTGATATATGGCACACAGAGGGTACCTACACAACTAGCCTCAATAAAAACCCTAGGCTATGAAGGGCACCTGGGTGGCTCAGATGGTTAAGCATCTGACTTTGGCTCAGGTCATGATCTCATGGTACCTGAGCTCAAGCCCTGCATCAGCCTCTGTGCTGACAGCTCAGAGCCTGGAGCCTGCTTCTGATTCTGTGTCTCCCTCTCTCTCTGCCCCCTCCCTGCTTGTACTCTGTCCCTCTCTCAAAAATAAATATATGTTTAAAAAAAAAAAAAACCTGGGCAATGAGTCTCTAATGAGCTTCCTAGTAGACAGTGTTTCATATATGTTGTCACAATTTGATGCTGGAGAAATTAAGAACATTCTCTCCACTGCAAGAGGATGCTTGGAAGCTCATACCTGGTTTCCTCAGGCTTCACCTGGTGTACCTTTTCCCTTTGCTGATTTGGCTTTGTACTTCACTGTAAT